TTTGCATAAATACTATCCAATCAGAAGTGAGATATCTTAAGCCCTCATTTGAATTACGGGACTATAAATATATGGACTCGTAAGTGGCCTCTCTGCTCTTCTTTGTTGGGAAGTTGTAGAAGGCTAAGTGTCAAGGCTTCGGAATTCAGCCATGCCTGAACCCTCCAAGTCCGCTCCAGCTCCTAAGAAGGGCTCTAAGAAAGCTATTACTAAGGCCCAGAAGAAAGACGGCAAGAAGCGCAAGCGCAGCCGTAAGGAGAGCTATTCCATCTATGTGTACAAGGTGCTGAAGCAGGTGCACCCCGACACGGGCATCTCGTCCAAGGCCATGGGCATCATGAACTCGTTCGTCAACGACATCTTCGAGCGCATCGCGGGCGAGGCGTCGCGCCTGGCGCACTACAACAAGCGCTCGACCATCACGTCGCGGGAGATCCAGACGGCCGTGCGCCTGCTGCTGCCCGGGGAGTTGGCCAAGCACGCCGTGTCCGAGGGCACCAAGGCTGTCACCAAGTACACCAGCTCCAAGTAAACAGCTCCTGATATTAATGACAACCAAAGGCTCTTTTCAGAGCCACCCACCTTGTCTTAAAAGAGCTTAAGCCTCAGTATTTTGTTCCCAGTGAACCTGTGGTAGATGTAAATTTATCCTTGGGTTTGGGCTTTGCGTGTTCATTTAGACTGAAGAGCGAACCCCCACGGTAGTAAGGCTTCGTGATCTGCCTGCACCACCTTAATAGTCCTTTAAGGTTTTCCCTGAGGAAAGGTGTTCTACCACTGCTAGGGGTGCAGTGTAGGCTGGCTGTGGCTGAAGGACTTCTGGAGCATTGACTCCTGTAGTTTGACCATCCCTTTGCCTTCTGCTTTCGAGCGTAAGGGCAAAAAAAATCCAGGTGCCTGGACGGCTATACAGTACGTAATGTGTTTAGCGCTGCGTGATGAAACAAAATTCTTGTTTTCCCTGCGACAACAACCAGTTTCAAGGTATTTATATATTTCTAGGGAGAAAATGCACTCCCCCTCCGTGGGCCAGTCTGATTCACGTTCACCTTGCAGTGGGGTGTGGTTCTGCCCGGAGAGACAAAGGGTTGAATTTCGCGCCTTTTCCATCGGGCGCCACCAAGCGGCTACCTGCAAGGCCAGGTCAGAGGCAGACAAACCGGTTTTTCTTCTGCAGGCCTTTTTTCGAGGAATCCGGGGTTGCTGATGATACTCCCTAGAAAAAGGACACTGGTTTTGGAAGAAAGCAGTACAGTGGCATGTCCGTGACGGGCACAGGTTGGGAAGGAAGCTGGGGGACAGCTGCCCAGCCCACTGGAAGATGGGGAGTTTCCCTGGGCCTAGAGCACTAAGCAGACGCCCATCAGGTTGTCTGCATGAAGAATTACAAGTTAAAGTAGAATTTCTCAAATCAAGGCTTGGTTTTAAAAAATTAAAAATGAAATTAACTCCGCGGATTCCACACAAGATATCGGGGCCTTCTTATGAGAAGCACTTCCAGTCTGGGTATTCGCCAAAGACCCTTGTGAATGAGACTGCTTGTCTTAAAACACCAGCGGTTTGAATTTTAGGTTCTCCAATGAGGACCACTCCCCAACTACCGCCATCTGCACACATGTCATTACCACCGAAGAAAGATTACTAGTGAGCTCAAGCTGCAGTTTAAGGAACTTTAGGCCTGTCCCTTGGTGGAGGGCAGACCTGATCCTAAGGTTGCTAGCAATTCAAAATTGTATCTTGAATACAGATCAAGGTCCACATTGCCCGCCAACCAGGTCTTTTATATAACTTTTTTGTCTATTTGCGACCTTTCTTTTACCTTCTTTCCTTTGTTCCTTTTTTTCTTTCAAAGAAGAAATCAAGAATACTTGACATTTTACTGAAAACTATAGTGTTTATTGACCAACTGAAAACCATGGCCTCCTCCAGTCCAAACTAGACCGTTTACCCGTCCATACTGACACTTGGCTCATCTTTACTGGGTGAAAGGAAAAGTTAAAAAAAAAAAAATCAGTTGTCTGGACTTCATGGGAAGCCCCAAGTGATGGACCTCTTAATTTTGGACAAAGCAGGGCTAGTGTTCAAGCTTAAATGGAGTGAAACTAATAAACTCCCACGTTTTCTCCACCCCTTCCTAATAAACTCCCACGTTTTCTTCACCCATGTTTTGTGACCATTTGTTTTGGTCACAGTACAAATAAGGAATAACTTGGGTTACATCCCGGTTCTCCTCTCCATACTAGGCAGATTAGCTTCCCTCCCTGCCTCCCTAGCCAGCAGAGGGCTGGAAGACAGGGAAAGATCAATGAGTAGAGGGAGGGAGGTGAGGCGCTGTCCTGGCTGAGGTCTGGGTGACTACATCCAAATGGACTGGTCCTGGACCTTTTTAACTTAAAGGGAGGTTGACTGAGAATTAAGAGAAGAGAAGAAAAGCACACCCAAAGATGACAAGGTCCAGAGACTGGTCCTGCTTTGGGAAGCCAAGGCATGGGCGTGCCCTCGCCTCACTTCCAGCAGGTGGGAGGACAGACCCAGTTCTGGCTTCGAAGCCTCTCAGGCAGATTCGATGTGATTTTCTAGTTTTCCATAGTTTCCCATTCCCATTAAAGAATAGGTATGACTAAATGACATTTTTTCTTCTACCCACCATTTATAAACAATAACCACTACAAATTTTCGCACATTTATGTTGAGATTTAGGATGTGCGGCCCCAAAACATGGAACCTTGTCATTTGAGGAAACAGCCGAAGCAGGGAGGTTATTCCCATCTTCCTCTCCTCCTTAAGCAGGCCACAAAAACCAGACAGTTTGATGACCTTCTTCTGAAGCAGGTCAAGGCCGCAGTGAGGCCTTCGTGTGAGGGCGCCCTCCTCCTACCAGAAGTAAAGAATGCTCCTTTCTCTGAAATCGAGGGACACAGAGAAGAACCTGAACAAACAGGTCTTGCTAAGATCCCCTCCCTCCGTCATTACCGTTAGATGAGACTCCTTTTGCCAACTATCCACTTCTTTGCCAAATGTACCATTAAAATACCCAGGTTTTCACCCATCTTTGTGTGTTAATTTCTGAAGGCTCCTGTATCACATGACGATGTTTCGAAGTAAAATACATAACATTATCTCATGTATGTAGAGGAAGTGTTTTAGATGACAATGTTATAAATAGGAATGGCGAATATATTTAAGAGGAGATAAGTTCTGTTTATAGGAACTGATAACATATTGATAACAGTTGGTTTTCTGATATTGGTATGAGTTTTGTACTTATGATTCCTTTAACTTCTTGAGTCTGTAAATTTATGTATGTTGTCAAATTTAGGAACGTTTCAGGCCCAGCCTGGGTGCTGATCTGTAGTGTTGGAAGGCCCAGGGCCCACGGCAGGTTCAGGTTGAATATCATTCTCTTGTTAATCTGTTTTTGGTAACAAGGGCCTTCACTGAAATTTCTCTTTTCTCTCCCATGTACTCCTATATCTTTTATTGCTCAAAATTTCATTTTGGATACAAAGTATGCACTGCTCTTTAATCCTCAGAGATACAAGAAACCCATCTCTAAGAGAGTACAAATCATTGACAGCAGCATCAGACATCCTAATCTCCACTACAGGTCCAGGTCGTGCAACTATTCGGACAACACGTCAATCCCTGTGTTCACTGGTATTGATGATGAGGCCGTAATAATTAAGAAATGCCAAAAGATTGATTATTATGAAGAGAAAATGTCTTAGGACTTGGAAGATGTGACAGATGCAACAGAAAATCAGAAAACGAGCCCTTACTCTGCTGCTAGCTTCCAAGGCCCCAACCGCAGTCCTCTGACAGGCCCGGATTAGGGCTCGTCCAGGAAAGACTATCACGGTGAGACCGGAGACTGACACCATGTCTAGATAGTCTCAGGCACCGTCATGAGCTGTTCTGAGGGCCCCTCCATTTTGCCCTAGTCATTTGCTCTTCTCTAAAATGCATCAGCCCCTCCTCCTCTGCCCTAGGGAGATGCCCTGACAGCTTCGAGGCCTGATGGAGTTTGGGGAATACTCACTTTGCTCTCTGCTCGAAACTTGTGCGCCGTTTCTCCTGTTAATCTGCCTGTGGTCTCCTTATTTCATACACAGTTACTGAGCCTTACAGGGCGATGACCAGCTCTGTCATGGAAGCAGAATGAGTACGGGAGGATGAGAGTTGGGGGAAATGGCTAGAATCCTGCGTGTGGCAGCCTGAGAAGAGCAAACGGCAGGAATGGAAATGGCATTGCGGAAAGAGGACAGACTTGTCCAGGAGTTAGAGTTTCACTTCGGTGTTTCCGACAGCAACATAAATGTGCCGGGGCCGTCGGCTTGCCAATCTGTAAACTGAGGACAGCCTTCAGGCCACACCTGCAGCGACTGTCAGGCGTGTAGTAAGAGGCCATGAAATGGGAAGCTACCATAGATCACACAGGTCAGAAGTTCGCCCAGGGCTCAGCCTCGGCCCTCATTGTTCAGGCAGTTTAACAGGTGGGCAACCAAATTTAATCATTTTTTTTCTTTTCCAC